ATAAGGACTTTAAGGTCATCCTCAGCTACATAGTGAGTTTGAGGCCAGCTTGAACTTCATGACACCCTGCCTCAAAAAAATAAAGTTTAGTATGTGATAACTTCAATTTTTAATTTTGTCTTAATACATTGATACTAAAGGAACAGCATCAGTATGATATCAGCCCTGTAAAATGTGTTGAGATTTTCCTTGTGGCCTAGAGCAGCAGTTTGACAGTTTTGCTTATTGGCCACATGTGTTAACATTTGGAGGGGGGTAAGGGTTAAAGTTGAGGCTATTATGTATGTTTATAAAATAGCAAAGGTGGGGCTGGAGAGATGCCTCAGTGATTAAGAGCACTGGCTGCTTTTGCAGAAGACCTGGTTTTGATTCCCAGCACCTACATGACAGCTAGCAACTATTTGTAAATCTAATTCCAAGGATCCTGATGCCTTCTTCTGACCTCTGTGGGCATTGCAGAACATGGGCGCACTTACATATATGTGGGCAGTATGCTCATACACATAAAATAAAAATAATAAAATATTTTAAAAACTATATCAAAGGAAGTCATTAAGTAGTAACACCTGGTTTCTTTTACCTTCTTAGTGAGTATCCTGCTTTATGTGTGTACCTGTTTTCTCCTCTCCCCCAATCTGTCCCCCCTTCCCCTTCCACTTCTTCTTTCAGAGTGCTGTTAATAGCCCAGGCTGGCCTCAAATTTCTTATCTCCTTGTCTCAGTGTGCTTAGTGCTGAGATTACAGGTGTGTGCCACCATACCCACCTGAGACTTTTCATTTTTGCATGTGGGATTATACTCCTTTTAGATTATTGAACTAGCTTTACATTTGTAGGATTAACTCCACTTGCTCATGATATATTTTCCTTTTTAGATATTTGAGTTTGATTTTCAGTATTTTGTTAGGTACTCTTATATCTTTGTTCATGGGGAATGTTGCTCTGTATTTTACTTAAACTAGTTTTCTTGACACCATGGAAGTGAACTGATAGGATCCCTTAAATTTTTTTGAGACTTTTAACAATAAAACTTCTATCCTTGGTTTTTTTTTTTTTTTTTTAATGGAAGGCTTTAAAATTTCAGTGGATTTCATTGGTAGTCAAAATCTTACACAGGATGCTTGTTTCATCATAGATGTCTCAAGAAGCTTCTGGGTTTTGAGGAATTTCTTCATTTCATTTAAGTTGTCAGATTTCTGAACATAGACTTATACATGCAGTGGATCCATGTCTTACTTGCTGTCAACATCTGAGAGCTTCGTGTGATGGCCCACTGTCCCTCCTGACCAGTCTTCATTTGTACTTCTTTCCTCTTTGTAAGATTTGTCTGATGATTCAGTAGTTTCCAGAGAGCCTGTTTTTAGCTTCATTGATGTGTGATTTTTTTTAATGTTTTTTTTCTTTTTACTTGTTCTACATTGTGTGCCAGTTCTCTTATGACATCTTTTTGTTTGTATCAGCTTTCCTTCTAAGCACTGCTCGAGTTGCATTCTGCAAACTTCAGCATGTAATGTCTCCATTTTCTTTCAGATTGAAGTATTTTCTTACTCACCTTGTAACTTCCACCTTAGAACCATGGACAATTAAAAGGTTTGTGGTTTTACTTTCCAGGTATTTAGAGATTATCTCTGTTGCTGAGTTGAATTCCCTTGTGTTCACAGGACTTATTTTGTATATTTCAGTTGTTTCAAACTGAACATCTTAGATTGTAAGGTCATGTATTTAACACTTCCCTGGTATTTCTTCAGTGTTTCTTCTGCCCCACGTGCTTCCTTTTGTGACATGAGTGACATGACTGCTACACCTCTTGTTCCTTCCTACACATTCCTGAGCAGGCTCTGTTAACTGTCCCCTGCCAACCTTTCGTCTCTTCATTGGTCATATTAGATCATATCTATTGATTTTTTTTTTCAAATTCATTCTGTCATCTCAAATACTGATAATGAGCCCTTTGAATAAAATTTTAAGTTTTGGTTATTGTATCAATTCTAAAATTTTGGATCATTTTTACTTTATATGTTTAGTTTTTATTGCAGAGAAAAGGAAACTTCTATTTACTTCAAGATTTCACCTTTACTTAGGGAACTTTTTGATAGCTCTTACTAATGTTCTCATGAATTTCTGTGCCGTTTTGACTTTGGTGCCAAACATTCTTATGTTTGTTTATATGCCTTTGGATTGTGTCTTAGATATTTTAATATTGTATTAAGTTCTTCATTTGTTTAAATTCCATAGTGAATATTAATTTTTTTTCCTTCCCTAAAGTAGGTAAGCAATCTGGTTGGGTTTAGGCTTCAAGCTCCAGCCAGCCAACTTTGGATTGTGGTTTGAATGTTAGTTGTGTTCCCAAATCCTTTCTCTTGCTCTCTAGATCTATTTACAGTATTCAGCAGAGGCTGGTTCAGGGTCTAGATAGTGTTCTTACTCTAGTTCTTAGTTATTTTTCAGCCTTTGCTAAGCTATTGAGGAACAAGTGCTGCTCAGAAATGAGCCCAGGAATTTGCATGCAATTTAAATGAGTCACTTTCCTGATTTCTGGGTGTCTTGTGGTCTCCCTGGTATTTTCGTTTTGGCTGAGCTTCCTCCATTTTATTTCCTTCATCCTGAAAACTGATGCTTTATCTTTCTTGCCCTACTGCATTCTTCCCACAGCTACACCCACATCAGCTGCAAAACAGTATGTGCTTGTGTGTACTCTCATTCTTTGAGGTTCTTACTTTGTTGTAGGCAAAAAGATATTTAGACATTTGGAAATAAGTTCAGTTTTTAGTACCTCTTCTCAAATATACTTTCATATAAAACTTGTCCTGTTTTTATATGTCATTAGTAGCAGAGATCTTTTTATTGAAATGAGCCTTGTAAAATCAATCATCCTCCCTTCTCTCCCTCCCCCTTTAAAAAAAAACATTAAAAAATGTAATGGTTTGGGTCTAAGGGGATGGCTCAATCAGTCAAGTACTGTCTTTGAAAATACTTTGTTCTAAAGCACTGTGTAAAAATGGTGAGTATGTGGTGGCACTGTTAAGACAAAGACAGGAGGATCCTCCTGACCTAACTGGTGTGCTCTAGGACAATAAGAGAGACTTTCTCTAATGGAGTAGATGACATTCCTGAGGATGACACCTAGGATTGTTCACTGGCCTTCACATACATGTTTGCCCCTCCCCCCAAGAATGTATACACACACACACACACACACACACACACACACACCCCATGTTCTGGGGACATTGCTATTCATTAGCATACTGCCTTTCCTCAGGTTTTGGTGTCCATATGATAATACTGATAGAAATTTATCCATATGTGAATTTTACAAATGTTTAGTCTTCACTGCATTCTTTATTCCTTGTTAAGCTTTCAAGAATATGTATCCCTGGGCCCATCTCTAGAGGTTCTGATACAGTAGGTATATCATACAACTAATAACGTAAATGATCCTCTCTTCATTCAAACACTTCTGCCTCACTGCATGTAAAATCTGTGATCAGGGAGGTTCAGAATAGGCATGACTGAAGAAGGTGACCTGTTAGCACTAATTAAAGGTCTGTAGCTTAGTGCTGTTGCAGTTGTGCTGTCTTGGTCAGGCTCAGTTCCTCACTGTCTCTCCAGCCATATTCTGTACTGGTTCATCTTTCTTGAGGTTGTCTATTTGAATCATTGGGCATGTATTTTTTTTAACTAATAAAATACTTTTCAGTTCAGAATAAAATAGAACTAATAGAGCAAATAATCTTGTTTTCTTTATTGCATTTAAGGACAAAATGTGTAATTTCTTTCAGTTTTTCTTATTGAGAAACATTATATAGCCAGTGAAGTGTTTTAGATGTAACTGTCATGGACTTGAACATATGTATTTTTAAATCGCCACTATCTAATCAAGACATAGAGCATGTCCAGCTTCTTTTATAGATCCTTGTATTAGGTACTTTTTGTTGGTTTAATAAAATACCATGACCAGGGCAACTTAGAGAAGGAAGAGTTTGTTTGAGCTTATGGTTCTAGGGGAAGAGCCCCTAATGATAGGAGAGGTATGACAGCAGATAGCCAGAGTGAGGGATCTGAGAGATCACCTTTCCATCCACAGGAGGAAGGAAAGAGGAAGAGAACAAACTGGAAGTGGGCGAGGCTATAAACTCTCAAAGCCCATGGTCCCCAGTAATGTGCTTCCTCCAGCAAGGCTGTACTTCCTAAAGGTGCCATAGCCACTTGTTTACCACTAGGGCCACCAACTGGGGACCCAGGTGTTCAAATACCTGAGCCCATGAGGGACATTGCTCATTCAAACTACCACAGTCCCTTAATGTTCTTCCCTAGTCAGTAATCCTCTTTGTCTGTGTCTTCTGCTGTTCTGATTTCTAATACCAAATATTATTTTGCTTTCTTTCTGACGTTTTATATATATATATGGATTCATATTTTCATGTCTGTGATATTTTTAATCAGATAATTATTATGACCAGATCCTGTTGAGCTATTTAACAGAATATTTATACTCAATACACATCTAAACCAAAGATGATTCTATTGACTTTTCTAGGTTTTTTTTTTTGGTCTTTTTGAAACAGGGTCTCCCTATAGCCCCACCTGTCCTGGAACTCACTATGTAGACCAGATTGGCCTTGATCTCACAGAGATCCACCTGCCTCTGCCTCCTGAGTGCTGGGATTAAAGGCATTTGCCACTACCCTGGCATGAATTTTCTAGTTTTTCTTAGCTGAGAAAATGTTAAAATTCTTGAGGAAGTTTCCTGTAGTCCTTTTCCAACTCTTGACACAATCAGTAGTTCTCTTTTATCTACTTGTATGGTATCTGCTGTTTTCACAGGTTGTCTTTTCCCTAGCCCTGTCTCTTCTTCCACATTTTCTTCTGTCAGTGAAGACGTATAAAGATTTCTGAAATCTCATCGCTTACTTGTTATTTGCTATGCTCCTGTTTGATATGGAGTGAATGTAGTTGTAATTGGATTAATCTTGAATTTTTGATATTTTCTTTCTGACAGCATGATGGAAGTGGATCATTGCACGACGTTCAGCTATCATTGCCATCCAGTCCAGAGCCAGAAGCTGAGGATCAGATATATGAGGTATGGCTAGGTAGGCTAAGGATTTCAAAATCTTACTACAGATAATGCAGCAATAACAATTTAAACTTTGAATAATAAAGGCATTAAACACCAGAATTTTAGCAGTTTGTAGAGCACATGTCTATAACTCCTACTACTTGGGAGGCTGGTTTGGACCCTCCTGGGCCACATTGTGATTCAAGGCCAGCCTGGGCAGCTTAGTAAGAAACTGTCACAAAATAAAAATAGGCTGAGATTGTAGCTAAGTGGCAGAGTGCTTGCTTAACATCCAGAAGGTCCTGAGTGAGATCATTCCCTAGTACCACAAAACAGACAATCCTAGAGCTTTTCTGTCCGGGAAAATAATCAGATTTTCTCTTAATCTTTGCTACCTTATTAAACTAAAATGATATCTCTGTAATGCTTTAATTTTAATTTATCATTTATTGGTTGGAAAATAATTTGTCCCTGTGTTAAATTGCTCATAATCATTCAATAACAATTATAAAAGTATGGTTTCAAAAAAGATTAAAACGGTAGTAGGTACTTCATATATTCACAGTGTATTACTTATTTTCTGTTGAGGTGATAAAATATATTGACCAAGGTAACTTAGAGAAGGAAGAGTTTCTTTGAGCTTATGATCCCTTCCAGAGTGATAATCCACATGGCTGGGAGGCCTGGCAGGAGGAGATGAAAGCTCCGTTCAGTGACCAACAACACAGAGTAAACTGTAAATGGGGCCAGGCTGTGAGCTCTCAAAGCTTGCCCAGTGATACGCTTCCTCTAGTAAGGATAGACCTCCCAAACCTCCCCTAATGCTGCCAACTAGAGACCAAGTGTTCCCATATTTGAGCCAAAGGAGGAAATTCTTATGCAAATCACCACACATAGCATTGAAGGAATATATGGATAATGAGATTGCTTGGAAATATAATTATAGAATCCGTGTCTCTTTTTACTGAGTGATTGTTGAAAGTATTACAATAATTCTCATCTTCAGATTTATTTTTTTAAAGTTCTTTTACAACTATTTCTGAAGCATACAGAAATATTCTTGACTTATTTAATATAAGTAAAGGTATTGGTATCCAAATATTGTTGGCTTTTACATCCTGTTTTTTGGTATACTTGCCTGTGCTTGCTAGTGATCTGCAGTAACAATCTTAGATTGATAACCTAAAATAATGAAATTTGAAATATCACATTGCACACTGTTGATGTGAATTCAGCTGAAATTCTGTACCCTGTGACTTCTTCCATCTGAGAGGCAAACTAAGGGGCCCTGTGTTAGACATACCGTTTTGCCTGTGAAAAGCAAAAGAACATGTGAAACCATGTATGAAACCTACTTGGATGTGGCATATGTTTTTCCTAAATAGTTCAAGTGCCCCAGCCTAGTATTAGTTGGGTAGAGGAGCATTGTCTTCCAGTAGGCTGCTGAGTGACTTACTGGGAACCAAATTACACATGAAGTAATAATAATCAAAAGAACAGAGTATAGACATTTCATTGGGTTACCTAATCCTGTCAGTGCTCAAGTTACTTCCCATCTCTGGGTTTCCACTCTACTGTCAGTGAAACATCATTCCACATCAGCAAACCTGCAGCAAGCTGTGGCCTTTATGTACACAGCCAGTTGAAAACCAGTGACTTAGAGGATCTCTAAGAATTTCTGTTTTCTTAATCTTTGTGGCTTTTTCTGAAATCAATTGTTTTCCTCAAGTTTTTATGAAAACTTCTTCTTTTTTTTTTTTTGGTCTTTTTGACACAGGGTCTCCCTGTAGCTCCAGTTGCCTGGAACTCACTCCGTAGACCAGGCTGGCCTCGAACTCACAGAGGATCTGCCTGCCTCTGCCTCCCAAGTGCTGGGATTAAAGGCGTGTGCCACCACACCTGGCGAAAACTTTTTATATACAAAGAAATTCTTTACTCATTTATTTGTTACTTAATTTATGTATTTATTTTATGGTTTTTGAGACAAGGTCTTATGTAGCCGTGGCTGCTCTCAAACTCGCCATGGAGCCAAGGCTGGCCTTGCCCTGCAGATTTGCCTGCTTTCCCTACTGTGCTGGAATTGCAAGTATGTGCCACAATGCTGGACCAGAACCTATGTTGAAGAAAAAGTTAATTCCAACTTTTTACATAGTCATGCCTTCATTGTTTTTCTTTTCTGATTTGTCAGCGTGTTTGGTTTCACATTGTAGGTGTATTGCTATGTGGTAGCTATTTCACATCCCTCCTCCTTCTCCTTCCAGGCAGAGCCTTCCTGGTTTTCCTTCTTTCTTATTCAAGCTGAGATACAATACTTCATTGTATCCTTTGTTCTCCATTTCTTTTGATCGCACAGCCATGATCTTGTCAGTCTAGAAATATGGACATTATTCTTTACTCTTTTTTGCCTTTTCTGACACGTCATAAGTTTCTCAAATGTCCTATGCTTTGCACCCTTTCTTCTCCAAGTTTATTTTCACTGTTTTGGTCCAGTCTCCCATTCTCATCTGGAATACTACAGTGCCTTGGGCATAGATTCTGAGGCCAGTTTTCTCATTGCTAAAATTTTCCTTCAAATTGTCAAAGCCATCTGATGTAAAACCATCATTCCCTGGCTAACACTATGCTTGCTAGCCATGGCTCTCTGTGGTTTGGCCTTTCCATAGGTTAATAGCCAGATAAGTCCCTATTAATTACCACAGTGTTTGTGTGACAGAATCACTGTATGTAATTCTCCAGTTCTACTATGCTTGCCCTCACTTCTGTATTGTATGTCACTTAGACTACCTTACTGTAAAAACCAAAGCCTACAACATGTCTCTAGAACCATCTGTTCATCTGTAAGACTGCACTGGAGTCACCATATCCCGACATGCCCTGTTTCATGTGTATGAAGTATTAGGGTTCAAGAATCGAGAATAATTCCCACAAATACCCCAAAAGATTATACAAAAAGTTCATTTAGGAATTTAAAGTAAAAAAAAACAATAACCAAATGGTGGCTAGCTGGGCACAGACTACACGAGCCAAAGATGGAGTCTGGCCCCGAACAAGAGGAGGCAGGGGCTTTTATTGGGGAACTCCACAAAAACCCCTGCACGCGCCAAGCATCTTTTTAAAATAATTGGATGTCCCCATATCCTGGGTATGGGGGAAGTCTTGATTGGTAGGGGCTGTTTTCAGGGTATTGGAATGTGCTGACTGATATCTTTTAGGGCCAGAAGTTTTTGTTCATAGACCTTATAAGGCTTTTGCATGTCCAGGGTTTGCTTAATTTATAGCTTCCTGGGGGCTGTGGGGGTAGCAACTGGAAAAATTTACAGTATGCCTGAGCTTGTCCAGGCTTGTCTGAAGAAGCTAGCCAAAATGGAGTCAGAGCATTCTGGCTCTTCATTCCCACTAGAGTTATGGCAAGGGTTAAATCTTCAAGCCAAGCAAATTACAGAAGCAGAAAGAAGTGATTAGACAGCGCATTTAGGGCGGTGGAACCATTTCTATATTGTCCTAAGGCTCGGGGTCTCGATTTAAATGAGTATATTGTGAACACAGTACTGTCTGTATCAGTTCTCAGATGAATTTGAGTAAGGCATTAAGAATACAGGGGCCACAGGTAACTGCTAGTAGGAGTAAGAGGAGAGGTCTATCGCTGAGATCAAAGTTGTTAACCATGGGGACCAGTCAAACAGGGATTCGTACCAATTTTGTTGAATCAGTCATTCGTTTTTTCTTTCCTTAAGTCTTCTACGGACCTCAGCCAAAGACTGTTTTATAAATCCCGAGTGAATAACATAGAAACAGCACTGTTCCCCTAGGGCAACACAGAGTCCTCCTTTCTCTAGAAAAAGTAAATCCAGCCCTCTCCTATTTTGTAAGGTTACCTCAGCTAAAGAGGATAGAGAGTCTTCGAGGTGACGGATAGATGTTTCTAATGATTG